TGCATGTCCTGTAAATTCTTATGTTTCAATAATGTATTATAAAATTTTGTATATATAGGTATGCCATATTATATATGTTGTGAATACAATGTTGAACATAGAAACTCCAAAATAAAATGCTGTGCGTAACTTCTGAATGGTGTCAATGAAAGGACGTCCGGAAAAGGAATGGCGGGACTCAGGAAAATGTCCTAAAGAGGTCGTTAACATTGTCCAAGCAATTCAGACAGTATGTAAATATATCAGCCATGTCAGTCCTTGATTTGATATGAACGGACAACAGAGTTTACCCTCTTTAACGTGAACACTAGATTAAACCGAAGCCTTCAGTGTCTTCGGGCGACCCCCTGACTTGCGGGCCTGGATCATCGGGTCTGGCTTCGAAGATGACGACTTGGCCATCCTGGCGTCAGCCAAATCCATCATCTACCGGTACTTCGTACAGGTTGGGCTGACCGGAGGACCCGCTCATCGCCTGGGAAAGAAGGCTCACCCGCCGGGACACATCCCCCGCATGATCATCTGTATTTTAGTTTATTTATTTCCATTTTTGATGTAAATTATTGACAAGAAGTCAATAAAATTTGTTTCAATTGTCATTGGATTAAATTTCAAATAAAATAGATCTTTCAAACATTTACAAGATTTCTCTCGTAAATTGGCTAATACTCTTAACTTATCACGTGATCACGCATGCGCCAAAACTAGAAATATTCTCCTACTTATAAACTTGGTGTTTATACTTTTTCTAATTGTTTAATCATATACTGAAATTATGAAAAATAATGAAAAACGGGTTAAAATGATGCTATTCTTGTTTTCGAATGTTTCTATAGTGGCGTGCATAAGTTCTGATGAAACAAAAAGAAACATAAGTAATTATTCTTACTTCTAATCGATTGCACATTTTCTTTACTATTAACGACATATTTCATTGGAATTAATATTTATTAATTATTTAGGAATCGCCTAAGAAAAGAATATTTAGAAATTTTAAGAGAGATCATCAAAAATAGAAAGGATATATAAATCAAGTTTTAAGGCAAAAGTATTGATTGTACATATTTCAAGCTACTATTTCTAATTACTATATGCAAAATTTGACATCGAATGTGTAATTTTCATGCTTCCCAATGTTCAATTGTGTTAATTTCACAATGATTTGATTTGTATTATATAATTTCAGATTTACATGCAATTATCCTAATTGTGGATATGGCGTGTCTTTGCAACTGTTAAATAAAAGAGGCATATCCTGGCCATGTTTACGTGAAAATTTTTTAGATGGCAGAGTCATTCTAGTGGAACAGAAATAAACTAAACGTTGATGTAGCCTGTTTCCTGATATTTGACCAACCCATTTTCTTCATGAATCAAGAAAAGCCAACCATGAACGCGTTTCGGGCTGTTGTCCCTCATTGGGTCAACATCAAAAGAGGCAAATCTTGGCCATGTTCACATGAACATTTTTAGATGGAAAAGCACCATCTAGTGGAACAGAAATAAACTAAACGTTGATTTAGCCTGTTTCCTGATATTTGACCAACCCGTTTTCTTGATAAATCAAGAAAAGCCAACCATGAACGCGTTTCGGGCTGTTGTCCCTCGTTGGGTCAACATCAAAAGAGGCATATCCTTACCATGTTCACATGAACATTTTTAGACGGCAGAGCACAATCTAGTGGAACAGAAATAAACTAAACGTTGATTTAGCCTGTTCCCTGATATTTGACCAACCCGTTTTCTTGATAAATCAAGAAAAGCCAATTACGAACGCGTTTCGGGCTGTTGTCCCTCGTTAGGTTGGTCAAATATCAGGAAACAGGCTAAATCAACATTTAGTTTATTTCTGTTCCACTAGATGGCGCTCTTCTATCTAAAATTTTGATGTGAACGTGGTCAAAATATGCCTTTTTGGATTTTCGACAGTCACGACCCATGATCGAGTTCCACATTAAATTTTTTTTTTTCTGAAAAAAAAAAAAAAAAAATTGCTTCTGAATTGACTCCGATTCTTGAAAAAGTTCAACTCCACCAATGAGTGCAAGTATCCAAATGGGGCTCTGGCACATTTGTAAGTGGAAAAGTCGAACTGCTTTCTACGTATGTAGATATTTGGTGGTGCAATTGCAATAAATGCAATCGCTAATTACTAACCATGATTATCATGGCTTGTATGTATACCACACACAAACGTCACGTTACACTAAGGCTATTATAAAAATTATGGAGGACAAACTTTCTAAAAATAATCCTTCCTGTTTTAAGTGAATGTAATGGTTCATGGTTTTCCGCTTTCTCAGTTTGAATTTTTATGATTTTAATTTATATATCAATTTTAAAAAATCAGTATATTCATATCAGTATATTTCAGCGGAAATATTGTTTAATTGAGAAAGGAGAAATAACGACTATTCCTATCCTTACCAATGAAGTATGAATGAATGGATTGTGAAGAGTAATGATGATCGGAAAAATAAAATTGTCCAGGGATGGGAATCGAACCCACAGTGTTCCGCTTACCGGGCAGATGCCATGTCAACTAGGTTACTCTGGACAGAGTTTAATGTGTTTAATTGAGTATAATTTATTAATTATATAATTAATTTAATATTTTAATCTGTTCCAGTTCAAATTCAACTACACCTTCGAAATATGATCAAATATAAACCATTGTCTTTCTGTTCATTTTGATAAAAAATGTGTCTTTTATTGAGGGTTTAGTAAATTTCAGATAAATGTACACTCATTAATTTATAATGCATTAGCGCGCCATCTGTTATCAAAATTCGAAACTATTATAGACGAGTATGATTCTTTTTTTAAAAAATAAACAATTTCTACTGTCCTTACTGCAATGTGAAAAATTAATGGGATGGCCTGGCTCATCAGTGGTGAACTAGCATCAGTATCACTCTTGTCATATTTTTTCGCAAACAGTTTGGATTGTAGTTGAGAATCCCATAAAGGTAACGAGATACCAAATATAATACTCAATGCTTATGTCCATAGTTAATCTAAAATACCCATTCCAAGAGTCTAGAATCTGTATAACTATAAAAGGAAGATCGAAAAATACAATATAATAGCGGTAGGGTAGATTAAACTGGCGAAACCGCTGGGAGGGTTCACCACTGATGAGCCAAGCCCTCCCATTAATTTTTCTATTACAGTAAGGGCAGTAGGAATTGTTTATTTAAAAAAATAATCATACGCGTCTATAATAGTTTAGAATTTTGACACATTAATTTGGAGCTTTCAATAAAAAGAGGCATTCTCATAATTGAAGACCACATTTTCTTTATGAACTCTGATGGTTTTTTCAGAACTACGGTCTATTATAAGAGGTTTCTACAGCTGTAGTGACTGTCCCTTTGTGTGTCCAGCCTACCTAGAGACTCTGTGTAAATTCAAAAATGCTACAATTATCGAACCAATGATTTTAGTTTCAAAAGAACCTGAAGACCGTACACAATGTTTCTTCAACCTTTCATCACCTAAAGGCACCAAAATTTTACTCGCTCTGGAATTCGTTCACTTGGAAAGAGAGGAATTTGGCAATTGTATCAGTTATATCAAGGTAAGTTGATAGTTTTTTTCCTACAGTAGATCCTCCCTTGAGAGACCTTCTATAACATTAGAAACTCTTTTGAGAGAACACTATAACATTTACATATTAGAAACTCCCTTGAGAGAACACCTATAACATGTAGACATTAGAAACTCCCTTGAGAGAACACCTATAACATGTACACATTAGAAGCTCCCTTGAGAGAACACCTATAACATGTAGACATTAGAAACTCCCTTGAGAGAACACCTATAACATGTAGACATTAGAAACTCCCTTGAGAGACCACCTATAACTTGAACACATTAGAAACTCTCTTGAAGGTCCACCTATAACATGTTCACATTAAAAACTCTTTCGAAAAAGCACCTATAACATTTTCAATAAAAACTCCCTTAAGTGATCATCTATAACATGCTCAATATAACCTCCTTTGAGAGACCATCTAAAACATGTACACATTAGAAACTCCCTTGAAGGTCCACCTATAACATTTTCAATAAAAACTCCCGTGAGAGACCATCTATAACATGCTCAATAGAAACTCCCTTGAGAGACCATCTATAACAGGTACACATTATAAACTCCCTTGAGAGACCATCTATAACATGCTCAATAAAACCTCCTTTGAGAGACCATCTATAACATGCTCAATAAAATCTCCTAGGATATTAAGAAATCGAAGCTGCTCTTTACTTATGAAGGTCATTGCCCAAACCCATGGTATACAGGTTACTTTGTCTGAATTTTCCAAAACTGGTGTTAAAGTTCATATATCATCACCATCTTCACGTATTCTACTGGACTGATGGACAAAATACATTGTTTTAATGTAATTTTGAAGGGAGAGTTGCCACTTTTTGGTACATGAATATCATCTAGCCGAACAACCTTATGCTATATATATACAAGCTTTGACAAAATCAATAAAGAATCTAGAGTCTGGTTTATTTTTATTATTCACGCCCGTTTAATAACAATGTGTTTCAAAAGCAAGCGGAATAAACGTTCAGTTCCTAAATCACTTTATTAGGTACCGCTCAAAAAGAACAACCTAGTTTATGATAATTGCAACAAGGAATAATATTGTTCTGAAAAAGAACAATCCATACTTAAATCATTAGATAGTAAAAAGGCTTATATTAAATTGAATAAAAGATTTATTTTGCCAATATTTCGGCTGGCTGAATGCCAACCTTTATCGAGGCATCACATTTTTGTATACACGATAAATGTTGGCATTCAGCTAGCCGAAATATTGGCAAATAAATATTTTATTCAATCTAATATATGCCTTTTTACTATCTAATGAATAATATGTGAAGGTTATTCATATATTAACCAAAAGGTTAACGTAGGATTCAATCCCGGTTCATGGCTATCGGGAATCGAGGGTGTTATCCACTCGTCCACCGACAAAAAAAAAAAATGTCGAAAACAGGGATTGAACCAGGGACCTTTAGATCTTCAGTCTAACGCTCTCCAAACTGAGCTTTTGTGACTTGGAATAAACGTATTATACTAAAGAAACGCCTTTTTGTTCTTTTATTTTATAGTAATTATTTTATTCTATTAAAAAAAAAAACAAGATTTCATATTGATTTTGTCAAAGTGTAAAAGCAAGGAATAATCTTTATTATTTATATGTGGCGACCACACTTTGCTTCAGCGAGCGCGAACTGGGACAAAGCTTCACTACACATACGGGCAGTAGTGTGGCGGCCTCACTACGCCTCGGCAAGCGCGAGCTGGGAGAACACGTCACTACGCATGCCCTGGCGTCATCCGGGACTTTCTGGCCACTCGAGTCGTAAACAACAAGGCTTGCTTCGAACTGCCGTTACTTCTTTTCTCTTTACATTGCTGGCTTTAAATAAATAAATTTATTTTATAAAAAATAATTACAATCTTATCAGCGGCCTTTCCACAAGCTACACCAACACGCACGCAACCATCCCACATATATAAGCTATAACTACAGTAGACCAGTAGAGAAAAGGTAAAGAAGATTTCTTCTACTAATTTGTTGTATTTCTGTGCAGTTTGTGGATGCAAACCACAGCCTTACTCTGTGTGATTATATCCACTACAGATTCGAACGTGAAATCTTTGTCACAAACTCCAACTGGCTGAACATCGAAATCCTGGTGATACGGAGCCTCTTCCCAGAAGCCAACCATGGCCTCCATATCTGTTTGACCCCATTCTTTATGTGTAGGTATTCCATAGCAGCGTTTGTGCAATATAGTCAGGCGGATGTGTTACACGCGATCCAATCCGACCTTGATAGCATGTATCTCCTCTGCTCACTCTCCTCTGAGAATTATTCTCGCCAAGTTCCTCAAACCTATCATCGAGCTTGTTGAGCATGCAGGCAACATGCCTGGGACTGGCTAAACTTATGGAGGATTTGGGCTCCTGAGATCCGGACGTCCTTTCGGTGAAGGCCTCGTCTGGTGTACATATTTCCTACACTGTTTTAAACTTTGTAAACTCTCTTTTGACCGTTGACTAGATGTTAAAAAACTGTTTTTTTTTAATTGTCAATTGTCATAGCAGCGTTTGTACTCTATGTTAGGAGCGGCTGTACATGGTGTCTATTCCTCATGTCAGAGGCGGCCATTTCTTTTGGAGCTAAGTCGGCTTGCCACTGAGTAGTACTCCCAGTCTTAATGACAAAGGTAGACGCATTTTACTTCACACAATCATGATGGTTGTAAAACTCCATCAAAAGTCTTAAGCTTTACAAGCTTGATACCTTAATATGATTGAGTGGAGATAAGAAAGAAGAAGACATATTCCAGCGGGATTCGAACCCAAGTTTTACTCTTATACCTTGAATTTAAACTCACGGTTCACTGTTAATAGAAACAGATCCAAGTATTTTTATTTCCAGTAAAGAAATATGTATATTAAATTCAACACCTTTTATATATATTTTAAATTATTTAGCAACAAATATCTTTTAAGAAACTGATAATTTATATTATGCTTATTGTACATATTGACAGACACTTCTTTCTTTTGTACACAGTTCTTTTTCTCGTTTTTTTTCTTTCTCTTTGTTAACATCATATGACTATCATGATAGTTGTAAAATATCATCAAAAGTATCAAGCTTTTAAAGCTTGATACCTTAATATCATTGAGTGGAGATAAGAAAGAAGAAGAAGACGTATTCCAGCGGGATTCGAACCCGAGTTTTACTCATATTCTTAGAATTTAAACTCACGGTTCACTGTTGATAGTAACAGATTCAAGTATTTTTTTTATTTCCAGTAAAGAAATCTATATTAATACCTTTTGTAGATATATTTTAAATTATATAGCAACAAATATCTTTTAAGAAACTGATAGTTTATATTATGGTGATTGTACATATTGACAGACACTTCTTTATTTTGTACACAGTTCTTTTTTCTCTCTTTCCCATTTGTTAACATCATATGACTATTCTATTCACGGCTTAAAACTATTGTAAATATATGTATAGACAAATGTAAAGACATACATGTATGACAGCGCAAGTGTCCCTTCATACTCTTAAAATGATAACAGTCAAAAACACTATGTGATTATGCCACAAAATATTTTTATAGAGAATCATAGAAAAACCTGAATCCCGATATATACATGTTTTTTGTTCATGAGTGTAGTTTGCCATTAGAAAAATAAAAATAAAAAAGAGTGAAAATAGAATTTAGAGTATAAAAACAAAAATATATAAGAAATTCCTCGATTCGATGAGTGTCATGTTCTAATGCGATATACCTTGTCAACAGACAATCCAGACACCAAGACGTGTCCTAAAGAGAACGGAACCATGTTCCTATGTAGCAATGGCCGCTGTATATCCAAGATGGTTGAATGCGATGGCCATAACAACTGCGGGGATGTCTCGGATGAAACTCACTGTGGTAGGTAACTTTGATGTCTTCTACTTCTGTCTTGTCTTTTTGTCCATCTTTCTTGTTATCTTCCTGTACATATTTCTTATGTTCCTTGTCTTTTTGTCCATCTTTCTTGTTATCTTTTCCTGTACATATTTCTTATGTTCCTTGTCTTTTTGTCCATCTTTCTTATCGTTCTGTCCACATTTCTTATGTTTCTTGTCTTTGTGTCCATATTTCTTATCTTTCTGTCCATATTTATTATGTTTCTTGTCTTTTTGTGCATCTTTGTTATCTTTCTGTCCATATTTCTTATGTTTCTTGTCTTTGTGTCCATCTTTCTTAACTTTCTGTCCATATTTCTTGTTTCTTGTCTTTTTGTCCATCTTTCTTATCTTTCTGTCCATATTTCTTGTTTCTTGTCATTTTGTCCATCTTTCTTATCTTTCTGTCCATATTTTTTATGTTTCTTGTCTTTTTGTCCATCTTTCTTATCTTTCTGTCCATATTTCTTATGTTTCTTGTCTTTTTGTCCATCTTTCTTATCTTTCTGTCCATATTTTTTATGTTTCATGTCATTTTGTCCATATTTCTTGTTATCTTCCTGTACATATTTCTTATGTTTCTTGTCTTTCTGTCAATCTTCGCCTTTCGCTCTTCTGTATATTTTATGCTCTCTCGTCTTCCTGTCTATATTTCCTATTATCTCTCGGCCTTCTGTCCATCTTTCTTATCATCTTTGGCCTTTTCTGTCCATATTTCTTGTTATCTTGTCTTCCTGTACATATTTCTTATGTTTATTGTTTTTCTGTCTATCTTATTTTATTTCGCTCTTCTGTCTATCTTATGTTATCTTGTATTCCTGTCTATCTTTCTTATTATCTCTCGTACTCTTCATCCATCTTTCTTATCATCTTTCGCCTTTCTATCCATCTTTCTCGTTGTCTTTTTTTTACATATTTCTTTTGTTCTCTTGTATTTCTGTACACCTTATTATCATATCTTTAATGTCCAATTGTCGCGATGAAACATAATTAAGCTCCCGAAGAGTACGTTAAATATTTATTTAATTATTTATATGGAAGATTTTAAATATAAAATAATGGTTATACTATACATTAACCAAATCGACTCAGGAATTGAAGCGAGAAGGGAGAACTGAGTTTTTCCCTTCCACGTGGCGCCACTGTTTTCCCGACCGGTCCGTTCAGTCAAGATAAGAGGATGTATAGAATGGAAAATATATTTATTTACGGGGCTGCTAACCAGAATAATAATAATAAAAAAAAAACGGCCAACATGGAGCTCGAACCTACCACCCTGAGATTAAAAGTCTCGTGCTCTACAGACTGAGCTAGCCGGGTACAAAAAAAAAAAAAAACCCTTAAGGGGGGGGAAACGCCCGAACAGGGGCTCGAACCCTGGACCGTTAGGTTAAAAGCTTAACGCTCTACCGACTGAGCTATCCGGGCATATGGGAAAGTACCAAGAAATTCTATTCTTCTGACAATTTATATAGAAGCTAAAGAGAATTGCGTATAACTATACGCAAACAATATAACGTATAATTTTTGGGCTCGAAAATCATACACTTTGATTAGTAGCCCGTAAAACCATATTTGGCGTTGCGTATAATACCACAGGAAGGAAGCATAGATGGAGCTTCTATACTCCAGGCAGCGCAGAACCCAACAGCCTCCAGGTCCGACACATGTCCAGTAGCCACACCGTGCATAGGTTAGCGTAACGCTGAAATCTTATACAGATTCATCACAGGAAGGAAGCATAGTTGGAGCTTCTATACTCCAGGCAGCGCAGAACCCAACAACAGCCTCCAGGTCCGACACATGTCCAGTGGCCACACCGTGCATAGGTTAGCATATCACTGAAAACGCTGGTGCTGAATCAGCCGCGTTCTAGTCTGAAAAGATGAAATTCCATTACTTGATGAAAAAGGTCATCTTTATATCATTAGTTAGGGGATAAATTCAGAAAAAAAGAGCATCTCCTGATCGCGCAACTATTTAGCCAATTCTGTAATAATTCAAAATCAACGATTAATTCATATTTCTTGAAAATAAAGATACTTCGGCCAGTAAATCTTTTTATTACCTCGACGTTTCGACAAAAATCTTTTGTCCTCGTCAGGAGCAAACAAAAATTAAACATTTGGACCAATTTTGGTCCCGAGGTATTTAACGCCTTGCTAAATGTTTAATTTTTGTTCGCTCCTGACGAGGACAAAAGATTTTTGTCGAAACGTCGAGGTAATAAAAATATTTACTGGCCGAAGTTTCTTTATTTTCAAGAAATATGAATGCCGGTCAGGCAGCCTCAATATTTTCGATAGTTCATATTTATTCCGATAAATGGCGCAAGCCATCAGCAACTTTTAGTTTCACAATCAGGAGATACCCTTTTTTTCTTAATTGTATGTATTTCTTTATGTACCTTTGTATAAGTAATGACAATGCTCATATGTTATGGTTAAATGTTTTGTTTTAAAACTAAATTCAAATATATACAAAAGTTGTCATTATAAATTATTACAAAGCAATGACCTGACATAATGAAAACATTAAGATCCAGTGTTTCTTTCACAAATAAATCAAACTTCCGCTGTCCTTAATGCGATGAAACAATATTAGGATGGCTCATCAGTGGTGAACCCTCCCAACGGTTTCGCCAATTTAATCTACCAGACCGCTGCTTTAGAGCTTTAATACTATTTTGGATCATTCTGTCCATATATGCTACACTGAAGGGTAGAGTCTCAGAAATTATATTTAAGCAAACTATGGATATAAGAAACTCCGCCTTTGCCGGTCCCAAGCCCGGATGAAAAAGGAGGAAGGGGAGCAGTAACAAGCTCACTAAAAACCTGGGTTCAGCTGGCCCGGCTGATAGTACCTTGTAAGGGCTTCTAATCCAGGGATACAGGATGAGCAGCGTTTGTACTCCATGTTAGGAGCGGTTGCACATGGCGTCTGTTCCTCATGTCAGAGGCGGCCATTTCAAATTGGAGCTAGGACGGCCTGCCACTGAGTAGTGCTCCCAGTCTTAATGACAAAGGCAGACGCATTCTACTTCACCCAGTCATGATCTCAAGCTTTACAAGCTTGATACCCTGATATGATTGCGTGGAGATAAGAAAGAAGAAGATGGATATAAGCTTCTAACAAAGGTATTATTATCACTAAATAAAGATTACAATGTAAATACATGTTGTTGTGTGTTTACAGTTGTCCAAGCCGCTCAGATCATTTTATCTTGTCTTACAGCCCTCATGGCAGCTGGACTCCTTCTCGGCATCGTATATTTTGCTCGGAATCGAGTGAAGCATTACTTCTGGACTAACCCGGATTTCTGATCAACTTCCTATATGGAATATATCATCCAAAATATTTCAGGATTATCTGAAATTACTAATAAATTCTTATCCCTTATATGTCTTCTTCTTTCTTATCTCCACTCAATCATATTAAGGTATCAAGCTTGTAAATCTTGAGAATTTTGATGGTGTCTGCCAGGGAAGAGTAGAGGTCATCAATGGATGAGTTTGACAACCATCATGATTGGGTGAAGTATAATGCGTCTGCCTTTGTCATAAAGACTGGAAGCACTACTCAGTGGCAGGCCGACTTAGCTCCAATATGAAATGTCCGCCTCTGACATGAGGAACAGACGCCATGTGCAGTCGCTCCTAACATGGAGTACAAACGCTTACGTAAAAATAATCAGAATCTCTTATGTTAAAATCGAATATATATGGCATTCATCATGAAGACAGTGGTAGCGCCTGGCTAGCATCCATAGTTCTTAATATTAAAGATGGGGGTCGGAGAAAGGATAGTCTAAACCGTTGGGTTTCGCCTGCTACGAACTGGGCTTGAATCCCGCATTAGACTTTTTTTTTAATTAAAGGTATGCTCCAATGGCCACTGGTTATTTCAAAAGTTCAACCCTACCAGCGAGTAAAGTAACCAAAACGGAGCTCTAGCATATTAGTAAGTGCAAAAGTCGAACTGCTTTTCACATGTGTAAATATGTGGTGCACTTACAGTAAAAGCAGTCACCAACTTCTACCCACCATGATTATTATTGCTTTTACCACAGCACTATGGATTTTCTTTTTGAATTGAAGATACTTCGGCCATTATAAATATCTTTTTTATCTAATAATAACTTTATTTTTCAAAATGGTCACAAGTTTTTCTCTAAAAAGTGTAACAAACGTTCAGTTTATTTACAAATTTTATTTACAATTTCAATAAATAATAACTGTAAAAGTAAACAAAGATATTTACATTTGTTATCTTGACTCCTGGTCAGTGCTGTGGCCCTCACAGATATGGTCCCCTGATGTTCTACAGCTCTCCAGCAGTCTTTACATGGGCTCTCCTGGTGGATAATAATAATAAGATTTACAGGCCGAGGTATCATTAATTTTAAGAAATATGACCTCTAGTTTATATCGCTATACAATTTTCTTTCATTTATTTTTTATTTATTTTTTTTATTTATTGTTACAAAAGCACGAAGTCCAAAGGACTATTGTGCTGTGCTAGTATTATTTATATATATGATTAATTATTTACACGACGGATTAGTATTGTTTTGTAAATTATTGTACAAATAGTTCTAAACTTAACAAAGTTCTCATAAGATAGAGTATATACACAAAGAGAATTTGGTAATGTTTCAAAGTATCTACATACAATTTGATTAGTCAGAGGGCAAGTTAAAAGAAGATGCTCTGGTGATTCAACATCTAAGCGGCATTCACATGTTGGATCATTGATAGCATTCAGTTTGAATAAGAAACTTAAGAAGGGTCCTTTGCCAGTTAAGAATAAAGTAGTGAATTTATCAGAAGAAATGAAATTTGGGACAGCAATTGGAAAAAATTTCTTGAACAGTTCATTAGATTGAGAAAGATAAAACTTAAATTTTAGATCCAGATATAGTTTGTTTAATTCTTTTTGAAGGGGTTTTTTGAGTGTTCGATCTGTGAGAGAATTTGTCATATTATACTTTGTTTGTAATAATTCAAGATAATCGGACAGTAAAGGGGTTTTCGCTAGTATAAGTGTGATGTAAGAAGATGAAGTCCTATAAGCATGAATGCATCTAATAAGAATTTGATATTGTATAGAATTCAACTTGGATCTTTTTGCTGCAGTGATAAAAGGAAACCAAATATTTGATGCATAGCTTATTGTAGAGCGTATCATAGCTTTATATAAGATCAATCTACGCCGAGTATCAATGCCCCAAGTACGTGCACATAATGAGAATAATATATTCTTAAGTTTCGTAGCTTTCATAATCATATTTTCTTTCATTGTTCTATAGTCATATGGTTATGATCTGAATGTTTTCCATTTGATCTATCTTCCAGTACAATCTGACGCTATCTTAACGTCTCCATACATCTCTATCACAGCAATGTCCTCTATCTTGGGTGTGTAAAGCTGCTGTTCTGGGTCCATGTCTATTTTATGTTGTTGTCGGGTCCAATGAAGAGCCTCAGATGTCTCCATGCATCTCTATCACAGCAATATCCATTATCTTGGGTGTGTAAAGATGCTGTTCTGGGCCCATGTCAATTTGTTGTTGTCGTGTCCAATGAAGAGCCTCAGATGTCTCCATGCATCTCTATCACAGCAATGTCCACTATCTTGGGTGTATAAAGCTGCTGTTCCGAGTCCATGTCAATATACTGTTATTGTTGTTGTCGTGTCCAATGAAGAGCCTCAGATGTCTCCATGCATCTCTATCACAGCAATGTCCATTATCTTGGGTGTGTAAAGCTGCTGTTCTGGGCCCATGTCAATTTTATGTTGTTGTCGTGTCCAATGAAGAGCCTCAGATGTCTCCATGCATCTCTATCACAGCAATGTCCACTATCTTGGGTGTGTAAAGCTGCTGTTCTTGGCCCATGTCAATTTTATGTTGTTGTCGTGTCCAATGAAGAGCCTCAGATGTCTCCATGCATCTCTATCACAGCAATGTCCATTATCTTGGGTGTGTAAAGCTGCTGTTCTGGGCCCATGTCAATTTTATGTTGTTGTCGTGTCCAATGAAGAGCCTCAGATGTCTCCATGCATCTCTATCACAGCAATGTCCACTATCTTGGGTGTGTAAAGCTGCTGTTCTGGGTCCATGTCAATATACTGTTATTGTTGTTGTCGTGTCCAATGAAGAGCCTCAGATGTCTCCATGCATCTCTATCACAGCAATGTCCACTATCTTGGGTGTGTAAAGCTGCTGTTCTGGGTCCATGTCAATATACTGTTATTGTTGTTGTCGTGTCCAATAAAGAGCCTCAGATGTCTCCATACATCTCTATCACAGCAGTTGA